TGTCTGTAGATTTGGAGGTGCTGAAGAATCAGTGCCACTTGATTTGCACCTTCACCAAGCAGCAATACAGCAGAATCCATAATGTCTCTTCAGTTCTCAACCATCTCCTTACTAAGTGTTGATTTATCCCCCCATCATCCCATTCAATACTGAGTAGGAGAGATGATAGATGATAGACAGACGATAGACAGATAGACAGACAGATAGACAGATAGATAAATGATAGATAGATATTTTTAAAAATCCAAATCTGAAAACATGAAACAAAAATACAACTGTACTGCTCAGAACAATCCAAAATGCTTAAAACAATGCTGCTTAAGTTTTATTCTGAATATGGAATAGAACATACAGTACATGTTATACTTCAAGCTCCAATACTTTGATCTGCTATTCTGCTTGATTACCCTGAATTTGAACACTTGTTTTTTCCATTATATATCAGTGATGCATCTATGATATATTTTAGCATGTAACCTTGTTACTTTCCCAGTTTGGAATTGTGTTGGTTGCATAGGATCATATAATACTATTTGTCGAAGATAGCAGCGTTGAGAAAACATCTGAAAGTAGCAGCAGGTCTGGTAACTCCTTCATTCATATTCCCAGCATATAAACACAAAGGGGGATTTTTAAAAATCTAACCATAAATAGGAGTCTGTAAAAGGATAGTCCCTACCTGTCTCTCAGCAAAACCATTAGCTATTGTTAGTCTTTCCTACCAAGAGTGCATGTCCTGTAGCACATGGACATGCAACTTTCTGGAAAGGAAGTGGAGCTGAGGAATATGAAATAATGGAAGCTGAAACCTAACAGTGAAGGAGATCTATTAGTTAAAGAAGAGGCTGCTGATTGTACAAACATCACAACAGCAAGTTAGAGATGGATAGAGAGAAAAGAGAAGACCAAAAATCATAATGCCCGTAGAAAAATGCTCAGAAGACATTCCAAAGAAAAAAGAACGAAGTGGTGAGTTGTAGAAGGGAGATTGCTGTCGAAGGTATGGGTGTATGTAGGTGAGACCAGTGCAGAGAAGATGTAATCAGCAGTCTAGCAGTCTGAACACCTTAGAGGTTCCAGGCAAAGCTGACTTGGGAGAGAAGGTTGGAGGGGGAAGGCGGTATTGTTATTTCATCCAACTCATTGTTATGTAGAGTCCATTAAGAATGATTATTGTTGCCAGGACTAGACAAAGGAGGAAATGGAAAGCAGCTGTGGAATCCACAAGGAGCTGGATAATAATAAGAGAGTCAACAAGAGAGATTTCTGATTCACCCAGAGGAGAATTCCCACAGAGGAGAAAGATGAAGGCTGATAGAGGAATGGTGTTATGTTGACACAAAAACCACAACTGCTATCACAAGAGAACCTCATATCCTTGAAGGAAGAAGATGGGAGAAACAAAGGAAGTGAAGGAAGAAGTTGGAAAAAGCAGAACAAGTGGGAGGAAGAGGGAGAAAGTGGGAGAAGAGGTCATAAAGGAAGTAGAATTCCAAAAGTTAGGTTATAAATCAATAAAAGAGTAAAGAAAGCATTAACAGAGCTAAATAATCAAGGAGAAGTAAGAACAGGAGGGGTGAAGTGAAGAATTTAGTGCTCAGGCAGAGAAAATTGTTAAGAATGAATACAGTAAGTTCCAAGCTTCAAAAATGAAGTCTAATTAAAAGGAATTAATTAAAATAGAAAAGAACACACTCTTATAAATGTAAATAAATAAAGCTTAAGTATAATTGAAATAGTGTGTTTGAGAATATTTTGCATATTATTATATAATAAAGCGTCTTTTTGAAATAAAACCTGCTCTCTTCTTGGTAGCCATCAACCCTTACAAAAAAGAACCAAAAATAGATTCCTAATGAATAATCTAGTTCATTCATTCAGCAATGCAATCAAACTTTGGAGGTGAATTCTGGCATGATTGCATACGTGCTTCAGATTATCTCCATGTGCCTTTGGAGTGGTAGCATCTAACTGACCTTGGCTGATCTTGAAAAACATAGCAGAGTTACAGCTGTTGAGATGGGAGATTGCCAGCTGAACTGGGAATCTGAAGGCAGCCATGGTAAACTACTTTTGCATTTTTGCAAGAGAAGTATTTGGATTTATCCATGAGGTCACCAGAAATTGAGTTTTCTATGAGGGAGTCTTTAGTCATATGTGTACTAATTTAGTTTCTGCTCCACGCATGAATCAATTTGTATGCATTTTAATGTCATTTGTTCCATAACTGAGCTCAGTCTCCTTTGCAGGTACAAAAACTGTTCATTTTGGGCTGGCCCCTTATGCATTTTTGCATACATATCTGAATTATTCCTGCAATCCTCTTATATGAGCACATTCAGCCAATACTTTGGATTCCAACTTTTTTTAGAGTTCTCAATAAAATATATTCAAACACACAAAATGTTGGAAGAGAGTTGGTCTGTCAGGAAAGGACGATTCTCCATCAATCTGCATAAGGGACTAATAAGAAATCCTGCAGAAAACCAGGATACAAACTTGAACTGGGATGCTTAATTATTTGCATGCTTTTCATCAATCTTTAAAGGAATTTGTAGGAGGTCAATTGAAAACAAAATACACAGAAATAGAATGAAAGAGGTCTACCCATTTTCATTCTTGATGCTTAGAAGGGGAAGATACAGCTCCAAAAACATTTGACTTTAATAATGAACTACCTCAAAATTTGCTAAGTGACTGAAATATAAATATGTTATCCACACATTGCAACAATGCCATACCTGGTTACCTAGTTTCTACTGCCACTGTTTAATATCAATGTGGGTTCATCTGTTGGCATTCAAGTGAGACATCACCAGTATCTGGATGATAGCCAGTTTTATATCTCTATCCCTGGGCCATAGAGTAGATGCAATATAACTCTTGACCCGGTGCTTGAAGGATGTCAGGGACTAGATGTGGAAAAACGGATCAGGTTCAGTTCAAGCAAGATGAAGTAGCTGTTGATCCAGAAGCCAACTGATTCTGAGAAAGTTCAAATTTTGACTCTTGATGGTGTTGTACTTCCCTAGAAAGAGTAGGGCCACAATCTGGAGTAGTCCTGGATTCATGGCTTAGAAGAGCATGGTGGAACTATGGTCATGAAGGCATTTGCCTAGCTTCAGTTGGGTGGGCCCATTGTGGCCTATCTTGGAAGAGGGCCTCTGGGCTAGGCACTCATGCCTATATTGCCTCTTGTTTAGACAATTGCAATGGGCTCTACATGGGGTTGCCCTTAAAGACCATCCAGAAACTTCAACTGGGATAGAATTCAGTTACCTGTTTATTAATGGGTCAGATTGTTATTGTCACATGACACCTGTCTTATGGAACTGCAATGGCTACCAGTTTGTTTCCAGGTGAAATTCAAGGTTCTGTTTATCATCCATAAAACCTATGACTAGAACCTGGTTATTTCCAAGACTGAGTGCTCCAAATAGAATCTGCCTGCCCAATACATGCTAACAGAGAGTACATGCTGACAGTCCTTACTGATTGAGAAGTTTGGTGAGAGGGCACTTAGAGGGGAGCATTCTCCGGGAAGCTCTCCTATGGAATAGCTTGCCTATGAAACAGAAATTAGTCCCTTCCCTGATGATCTTTAAGAAGTTGGTGAAAACCTGGTTGTTTCAAAGGGGCTTTGGAAAAGGACGTTACTGATGTTGTGGAATGTTATCCCAAGAATTGAGAGGCACTGGGCTAATGGTTAATGTTTTATTGTAATATATGGCATTGTTTTACTGTTTGTCATTATTTTCTTATAACTTACTTAGAGTTGGTTCAGTTGAAGCAACATAGTATATAGTAGGGGGAGAGAGAGAGAGAGAGAGAGAGAATAATTATGGTTTTCTTGGTCTCATCCAGCTGTACCCCAGTAATAATACTTGAAACATGGTTGAATTTGTAGCTGGAATCAGAACATTTGTAGCAGGAATCAGACAACCTGACAGATGGCAATATTTTGTATATTTATAGCGCTTTGTATACATGACTGAGGTAATCATTACAAGGATACTGGAGGATCAGCCAATATTCTTGGCTTCATATAAATCACTGAAAGTTAAGATTGAGAAATAATTTCTTCCAAAGCCTATATAATTCAGCACTGAATAAAACTGTGATTCTCCAGGGCAGAATTTATGCTCTTTAATACTGTGCTATTTGTGATGGTTTGCTCCACTGGGAATGTTCAAGAAGCATGAAGAGTGGGGGATCTTTTCCCACTTCTCTTATTCTTTGATCACTCAGTGTTTAAATAAGTGATAAATATCCCAGTTCAAAGAATGAGGTGATAGAGACAAGATTAATGGGAAACCTATTTCTGCAAGATATATTTTGTAGAAAAAACAGCTACAAGTTCCAGCTTGGTTTCAAATAAGACAAATGCAATTATTTCTTCTGAAGCTAATGATATCTTATATATATAGAATATTAATGTTTGAAGAATGGGTCATGTGGCATATTTAAAATCAAAGAACTGTACAAAATTCTTATTTCAAACACAAGCATAACAAGATCTCATAAAACTCAACATGTATGAGAATAGGACTTGGGATTTAAACATGATCTTGGAACTCTTTGTGATATAAATTTCAGCATATCTCCAATAACTCTGTTTATTTAAAAAGGTATAGATTATACTGCATCCTCTTAACACTGCATTATCCTAGCTGAAGTCTTTGTTAAATGGGAGGTAATCAAACAGCATTTCTGATGGAAATGTCCACTTAGTTCTAGTTTCATTCTGATTGAAAGACTTTAAAGAAATTGGAAAAAAATACACTACAAACCTTGATGACTAAGTCTAATGCGGTTTTTACATTGTACTGTCCCCACAATTTATAAAATGATACAGTACAAAATATAATTAAATATCCAGATAAATATTTCTTTGGATTAATAGTATTTACGGTATATAAAAATGTGAAATAGAATTAGATGAAAAATAAAATGAGAGAAGGGTTTATTTATTTATTTATTTGATAGATCACCCGACTCCATCCAGACTCTGGGTGGTGCACAACACAAGACAATTAAAAATAGAATAATACAAAGAGCATACAAAACAAGGGATCTTAAATAAACTTTCATTTAAAATTATTTTACACACATTTGGCTTCCATTTTTAATTGTATTAACAAAGTAATTCCTAATAGATTATCTCTGCCTATACAAAGATATTTATGAATAAAAAATATTGAATGGGGAAGTTGAACATTTGTAATCTTAAAATTAAGATTCCAAATGTGTGTGTGCGCGCATTCTGAATTATGCACATTTTAAGTACTTGCTGTTGTGAAGTTTCTGCTATATTTATTATGCTGGTTTTTATTTTTGATAATTTGTTATACATTGTTTCATTAAAGAAATAAAAAAGAGACCAGCAACTACAGTGGAGGAAGCAACTCGTAGGGACAAAGTCACACTTGTGATTAATCAAATTAGCTTTTTGGTGATATCAGACTTGTATTGAACCCAATTTTTTAAACTGGATGTATACTAATGTCCATTGGGATCTGGATTCTGATAAGCAGGATTTTGTATTCTGTATCTAGAGAAAAAGATCATGAGAGGGGAAAAATGTACTGTTGTGGTTCCACTAATGTTATATCTTGCAACTAGTGGAAAAGAAAATATGAAAGGGCTCTCATTTGTTTCTGTTGGCTGACTGAGTGTATTGTTGGACTGGGTCTTTAAGGGAATTAAAACATATATTGGGAAACTGAAGGAAGACAAATAGAGAACCACAAGCCCGCTTGGTTTTGGATTACGGTATTGACTGTATGCTCCCTAACTTGACTCTGCCACTGCTTGCTGTATTTCATTCTGTGTCTCTTCCTGTTGCTGTTGGAATTGGGGAATGTAACCACAGTCACATTTTGTAGCTCATTTGTTCATAATCCTTTGAACGGCTTCAAACTCTTGGCTTTCTAAAGTGATGCAGCTGAAAAATACAGAATTTCAGAACCACTTAAGAACCCAAAATGGGCAAGGGTTGCCTAGTTCAGCAATTTGTCTATAGCACTGGTGAAGATTAGAAGTATGCCAAAATACCAGCCCTCCCCTTTAATTTGGCCTAGTATATCATATTAAGATACTCCCTCTTGACTTGGCTGCAATCCTACAAAGCATGGGTGGGCTTTATACCACCCCACCCCTCATGATTAAACCCATGCAATCTCTGGAGTTCCTCTTCAGTTATCACTAAAACACAGTGGCACATTTTCTTGCTAAAAGTTTATGCTGAAGTTCTTTGGCTGACCTCTTAACTATTTTTTTAATGTTTAATCTTAAAAAGCATTACATTTCAGATTTAGGGTAGGGGTAGTTGTCCTGAAATTTATGTACTGATCAGCACATTTCTTTATTCATTTTCACATTGTAAGTCACATCCAGCATGAATTATTCTGAATTTGCATAGCAGTCTTTAGCCTTGGCTGAAATCTGGCTCTTGATCCTGAGCTTCAATATAGTTTAGCATCCTTTGTAGACTGTAATTGCAGGCAGAGGGTTGTATTTCTTGTTGTTTCATCATAAAATGGAACAAAACCCCTGCAAAGAGAAAGCAAATACACATGCTATTGTTGAAGAAAGAACATTCAACCAAGTTGGTTGCCTTCCTTTCCTTATCTGCAGTCTTGAATGGTAACAGTGAAATGTAATGTAGTGGTTAAGGCAGTGTTTCTCAACCTTGGCAGCTTTAAGATATGTGGAGTTCAACTCCCAGAATTCCCCAGCCAGCTATGCTGGCTG